AATATATTCATTTTTGACTAATACAAAAATTTCCATTAATTTTTCAAAGAAAGTAGCGTTTATATAATAATCATAACCAGATATTTTATAGGATTAACACTAATTTGTTTGAATAGCTATTATGGTCAAAAGCCATCAAAAAGGAGATGATTAGGGATGGCGAACGAGCTCCGCTCGTCTAGGGGCATGGCTCTGGCTCATTTTGAGATGAACCATGTGTTGAGCCAGACATCGTTTTTTCAGGAGTCGACTCGTTTTGGGTTGTGGGCGAACTTGTTTTATAATTCCTTCGAAAAACGAATTGATGTCGACCCATGCCATGAGGTTCACAAGTCAAAGGCTCGAACCAAGCTTAGTTTGTACACACGAGATGAATTGCCTTGACTCGATTCATTGTCACCTCAAAAGATCATAGAGAAATCAACTTTTTTACCTTGTTTGAACCCCATTTTTTCTTAAGAATTCATTTTCGAATAGTAGATTAATGAAGAATGAGCGGTTGAAAAATAAGAATTTTTTTTGGATTTACGTGTAATACTTTTTTATTGAAGAATTTGTGGTTAAAAAGAAGAGATAAATTTTTTTTTTTTTTTGAAAATAATGTGGATTTCTCTCTAAAGTAAAATACAAAATAAAAAAAAGTCTCTCGGGGGAGCAAAGCGAAGACAGATTGGGCAAGGCTTTGCTACAAATATTAATGGGTTTTGTTCTCTTTTCTTTTATTTATAATTTATTTTAATTTGGGGGGCTCATCTCCTCCTCTATTCATTTCCCACGGACATCCACTAAATTAATTAAAGATACTCTTTTTCTTCCTCTCATATTTTCTTTTATCCAGCCATTCCTTTCTCTTTAGATAACAACTTGCCCAATTTGCTATAATGGTCTAAAGTTCGTACGTGCAATTTTCGACACGTCTACTAGTTCAAAAAATGCCGCCCAGTACGATACGTAAACATAGATTGTGATTGAAAGATTTCAAAACTCGAACGTAGACCTTAATTTTCTTTTATCTTTCTAGTTGAATTTTCAAAAACAGAAAAATGTGCATTCTTCGAGGGTCTTGTCAAGGAAGACTTGTCTCTCTAGACAAGCCAACTCTGTCACGTACACAATCACCTTATTCGAACCACTTAAAGCCAAGATACTTTAAGTCTAGACAATTTGAAAATCAAGGACATTCCAATGATTCCAACCCACGTGATCACGTGACTCCTCAATTTTCCAACTAACGAGAAATAGTAAGGGAAAGGGGGAAATTTTTTGAAAATGTCCATAGCAAATATATTTAAAAGGATTGTTCATAAAATTATTAAAAATTAGTTGGAGGGATTATAGCCATAGGTATAGATAGGTGGACTTGACTGGACTTTAAAAAAAAATTAAATTAAATTAAATTAAACAGTCAATATTATAGTGTCAAACAACCAGACCCCCACAATTTGCTTTCATATCTTGCAAAATCATTTCCAATAGCTTCTCATTTCTTCCAAAATCTTCTTTGACAAATTTTGTATTTATTCTTGGAGTCGATTTTAGTGGGACACCTTTTTCGAGTGCAATATAAGTCATGGACCGTCTTGAGGGATTGTTGACTATGTTGAATTAAATACTTTTTTTAAAACGAGGCAAAGATCTCTATTCTTGAGAAATTATCTTCCTTAACATGAAAAATAATTTAATATTTAATGAAAATTAATCTCTTTCGCACAGTAATAAGTGATATATTGTTTATATTTTTCTCTGCAGTTGACTTTAACGGGAATTTTTTTTCAAGTATAACGAAAGTTGCATTTCTAGGTCAAGAATCAACTCAACTCGATCGATTATTGATTCCGTTAAGTTAGTCCTCTTAAAATATGAAGAAAAAAAAAACCCTATTAATTAATAAACTATTTCCTTTTCCAAACCACAAAGGTGAGACTTAGGGACAAATTGGAAAAAAATTGAAACAATAGGGGTGGTGGGTAATAAATGTCCTTCATCATAAAATTAGAAGGATTAATATCACATTTAATTGCAATGAAGGTTCCTAACCTTTTTCTCATACTTTTCAATGCATTCTTGTCTGTTATATTTTATTAATTAGTATATCATGTCCCAGATGATTATTTGTTAGCTTACTTTGAAATGAGAGAGAAATATTTTTTTGAAGTTTTATATATGTTATTTATTCATTATTTAAAAGTACAATGATCAAATAAGTCTTTTTATATCCTAACGACTTTTTTTTTTTTAAAACAGAAATTGTCATCAACGACAAATTGTGCTAATAATTTGAAGGTTAAGTATAAGAATGCGATAAAAAAATTGAGGATATAAATGCAACACCGAACAAAGGTTGATGACCTTCATTTAAAATGCAGTGCACCGAACAAAAATTGTGGTGGAATATAATTATCCAATTAGAAAATGATAACGAGCCTTTTGGTTTTAGCTACCAATTTAAAGAAAAACAGCTATTTAATTATTTTTTGAAATAAAAAAAACACATGCTTAGAATTTTGAAATATTCTCTTTGATTTTATGCTATATTCTAAAATGAAGGGTTTGAATCTTCAAAACAGGCAAAATTAAGCATTTTTTTCAAAAGCTAAATGGACACGCACCTTTCATCATATCATATTCAAACAGATGAAACTATTACGCAAAAAAATAAATAAATAAATAAATAAAATAATAATAAATTATATTTATTATGTTGTCGAACAAGGTGGGCTAAGAAAAGGGGGGACAATTTTTGTGGTTGATCGAATAGACNAACAAAAAAAGAGAAAAAACAAACAAAAAAAAAAATAAAATAAATAAAAAAATAACATGAGATCAGATAAAAAAATAAATAAATAAAATAATAATAAATTATATTTATTATGTTGTCGAACAAGGTGGGCTAAGAAAAGGGGGGACAATTTTTGTGGTTGATCGAATAGACACGATGTTGCTTGGCTAAAATTTAAATAAAAAATAATAAAAATAATAATAATAATTTGTAAGTAAATTTTACATATTTTAATTGATAAATTTGAAAATAAGTAATTACTTATTATGAAAGTAAGCTATAATTTATAAGTAATAGAAAGTAAAATATGTAATCAAATTTGGAACTCAAGTTTTAAACCAATTTTACTTACTTTTTAAATTTAACGTAACATACTCGAAGCTTGACATAGAGATGGGCATCTTCAATTATGTTAATGGATTCGCTTCACTATATGAAGATTACATAAAGAAAGAATTAGATTCCTTTTCTTTTAGTTAGGCAGATGCATCATCTTCCAATATATCAATATTAAAAGGAAAGAACCAGACTTTATGTTCTAACTTTATCCATTAATCGAACAATTCTCGACATTTGCCTTTTTTTTTCCCAAAAGATATTTATAGCAAGTAAAATTACTTTTATATCTAATTCTTAAAGGTTGAACCCCAACCTTGAGGGCTCCCCATCGCCCCGTCCCTCCCCTAGAGCATTGTCGATGAGGTAAATCGCAGGATGTGCCTCAACATGTCAGGGTACAAGAGTAGTCATACTGGTGCCCACAAAGAATCCAATTTCATACCTTGTAAGATGTAGGAATCGAACCCTCACACTACGGCTGTCAACTCAACTGAAACTACCTCACTCATGTCCTTTACACCACTGAACTATGCTTCGCGGGGCACTTTTATATCTAATGCTTGGTCCATAGGTTCCTATTCGAACGCTTTAGAAGTTTATTTGGTCGAACGAACTCTAATATTCCCACATCGAATCCAAGGTTTTCACGATGCTGTTTGTAATGTTTAGATCCATAGTCGGGCGATATGATTTGGTCTCTCGTGATCCCTATCATAATTGGAAGGTCAAGATTAAAATCCAAACTCCTACTAGAGATATGTCATTGAACTAACATTTGATCGTGTCAGATTATTATTAGTATCCCACCCAACAAGAACAAGTGACACTGAATATTGGTAGAATGGGCCATTGTACCACACAATATAGGCAAATACCAAACCTAACGGGGACGGCAAAGACGGAGTCACTTTCTATGCTCCCATCACCCCACTCCATACCCACCCCCACCCCCACGTCCACCCCACCCCCATCTTATTAGCTTTAGCCCCTATTTGAGATAAAAATAAAATTTGAAGAAAATTTTAGTAAAAATTGATGGAACGTGAAGTTAAAAAGTTATAGATCCCACAAATTGCATGATTAATATTTAATTGTAAATTTTGATTTAAATTTTAATCAACTTTTTAGCTGAATTAGACACGAACTTACTTTTATTTCTCAAATTTTAAATTGAAATTAACTCATTAGGAATTTGAGGTTGGCTCGTAATGATTTTAAGATAAAATCATAAAAGGTAAGCATTTAAAATATATCGGTTAATAGTAAATTTTACGAAGAACCATCTTCATTCAATTTGTTTAAATTTGACATGTAAAAGATGTTAAATCCCCCAAGTTTTAAGTATTCGATGTATAAAATTAAGACGAAATTCTTAAGTGTTTATAAGCTGCGTGTCTTAAGAGCATGTGTGAATATATAAATAAAAAGAATATATTTGATCAGTTTAACTTAAAATTTAAGCTTTGCCAAACACGATCTTAGAAATAAAAGGAAATAAAAAAAATCATTTTCCAATAGGTGAAGCAAGGGAACATGAAACAAGGGAGAGGAGAAAAGGAGTATCACGGGGAATGCAACGGGATGAGAGGTGAGAAGAAGGCTAGGCCTTCGAGAGAAAGAAGATTACATGCAATTGTCATTTTTAAAATAAAAAAAGAATATCCCATTTAAAAAGAAAAGTGTTTTAAAAAAAATTATAAGAATGAAATATAGAAATACGGTGTATATTTGTCCGACTCGGTGACTACTTTCTGTCATTATGCCATTCATTATTTTTCTCTGATCAGAATTCACTCCTTTGCATTCATTTCTTCATCTGTATTTTTCATTTCATTGAATTTTCAACCTTGTATTCATATATAATTCGGTGTCTTGCATATCAATGGCAGTTCAAGCTCGGAACCCATCAAATTTTCTTAACGCAAAACAAGGAAACAGCTCACCTGGGAACGATTATCCATGGCAACCATCTGAATCTGGACGAGAATTTCTTGATAACACGCCCATGTTCTTCCATGGGACTAATAATCCAAGAAAGAGAGGTAGAGATCCTCAGCCTTTTTCATCTGAATTCGATACCGGCCTTCACTTATCCTCTGGAAGCCAAAAACAATTGCGAAGCTCACAATCGGTTAATTCTTGTTCAATAATGGCACAAAACTTGTCTCACCATATCAAACAACAGCGCAATGAACTCCAGAATCTCCTTCAAGCACAGGTACAATGGCGAATTAATCTCTAACCGTATTTCTGAGTAAGAGTATTCAGATTTTCATTAGTTATTAGTATTAATACAGGGGGAGGAATTGAGGCGCACGTTAGGAGAAAAAAGGAAGAGGCACTACAGTGCGCTGCTGCAGGCAGCGGCGGACTCGGCAGCGCAAAGGCTGAGAGAGAAAGAGACGGAACTGGAGAAGGCGGCGCAGCTAAACTCCGTCCTGGAAGGGCGGGCGGCGCAGCTAAATGCTGAAGTGCAAACGTGGCAGGCTAGGGCGAGGGAGCAGGAGGTCACGGCGGCGATGCTACAGGCGCAGCTGCAACAGGCTGTGAAGGGGTGCAGTGCACATCAGGTACAGATGGATGCAGGAAACGAGGTAGGATGCACCGTGGGTGATGTGGACGATGCAGAATCGCTGTACATTGACCCGGACCGAGTTGTTGAGTTGACTGGGCCGAGTTGCAAGAGATGCCGGTGGCGTGACGCCTCGGTGGTGGTGTTGCCTTGTCGGCATTTTTGTTTATGCAGAGAGTGTGACAGTGTGGCCCAACTTTGCCCAATTTGCTACTCCTACAGAAGTTCAAGTGTTGAGGCCCTGCTTTCCTAAAAGCCCAAGCCCATTTCGAAAATCTACAAAATAAAAACTAAAAAATGTAAAACCAAAAAAATGAAAATGAGAAAAGCAAACATGAAGAACAAATAAATGTGTTTTTATTTATTACTTTTTAACACTTTGGGATAACTTGATTTGTGTAAATTTTTGTATCCAACGGAGTGATGAATTTGATCGTATTAGAGATTCATTTATCGATTCTACGGGCTTGCCTAATACATAGATTTGAACTATTCGACAAATTCATGTGTAGATACAAGTTCTTTTTTAACCCACTCGAGAATTCAATTCAAAAAAATTAATTTTTAATTTTTTTATTTTTTAAACTTTTGCACAAAGCTAAAAATTTTCTTGCATTGTGTATTACTATTGCACATCTTTATCATTATGCCAAAAGACAAATAAGCATATTTGGAAGATTATAAAGGAAGTGTACTATGGTCCTACATAGGTGCATAATTATTATATATGAATTATACTATTCTTAAGTTGATAGTTTCTATTATTTCAATTTTAATGCAATTATTATGAGAGTTTTGCGTAATTTTAGTCTTTCAAATTATATTTTCTCGCGCATTCAATTGCATTTATATATATATATATACAGAAATGATCTAATGAGCACCGGTGCTCATCTTATCCTAAGCACCAATGAGTTGGCACATTAATTCATTGGTGGATTGGAACTCACAAAATCTTTATCCACCAATGAATTAATGTGCCAACTCATCGGTGCTTAGGATAAGATGAGCACCGGTGCTCATTAGATCATTTCTGTATATATATAT